TCTCTTGGTAGTTATTGAAGCTTGGTGGTACTATAATTAGGGGTGGAGGAAATAGTGCTTTGCGAAAGGCTTTACACTTTCCTTTAAAAGAGGTTTCTAGCGTCTCTCCTTGGATAGGAGGGATTCTTTCTACTCTCTTTTCCTTAGTGTAGTCTATAGCTTTAAAGATAGATTATGGGTCTTCTTTTTCAAGAAAGTTATTCCAGTGCTCTCTTTTAGCTTTCTTGATTGCTGTTTGGTAGGTGTTTCGCGCTAGGAGGAAGTCTCTTTTAAAGAGATAAGCTTCTTCTATAGAGGTAGCTTAAAGTTGCTTCGCGAATATCCTTTGGCAATAAGATACGTTCTTTCTTAGCTTAGTTAGCTCCTGGCTCCACCAGGGCTTTGCTTTTGGCCCTTGTTTTAGTAGTGGAATAGCTTTATCTACAGCTTGTTGGATTACTGTCGTAATAGCTTCTCTAACTGCGTCTAGTTATAGCTTAAGCTCGTTGTCTTGGCTAAGGAGTAGGTTTCTTGAATCTGCTTTTCTTAGCTAGTTAATCTGAACTAGGGCTTGTAGAGCTGCGTTGTTCTGGATAGCTTTCTCTAGCTCTTCTCTAAATAGGTCCCAGTCCGCTCTTTTAGTATTATATCTTGTTTGGCTAGTAGGGTTATTAACTAAGTCCTTTGTTGTCTGGATTAAGAAGAGTATCCCATAGTGATCAGATCCGGTTTCTGTTATTATTTGCTAGTCCTTTACTTTAGCAGCTAGATCTGGTGTGGCGATAGTTAGATCTAGTGTTGTTTCTCTAGATAGGTGCGGTCTGAAGAAAGTAGCCGTTCCTGGCGTGTTAAGAAGGCTAAGGTGTTGGTCTTCTATCCAGTCTGCTAGTTGTTGGCCGCCTTGGCTGTTGCTGCTGCCTGTGTCCTACTATGGGTGGTGCTCGTTGGCGTCCATTAATAGTAGGGTAGAGGTTAGTAGCTAGGTGTCTTTAAGTATTCTTTAAAAGGTTTTTATATTTTCTTAGTTTTTTTGGTTGTATACGTTGTAGATGTTGAGCTTTAAGCGTCCTTCTTGGATTGTGATAGCAATAGCGTCGGGGTCGGCTATCTCTTCTAGCTGGCTAACTTCTACTGTTAGAGATCTAGATATATAAAATAGAGCTCTT